GGAAATATGAATCCCTATAACAGGGAATGATCTCACAACCAATTAATGTGTGCAAAAAATTTAAATTCTTATGTTTAATATGCACACATAAATATGCTTCACATGAAATTTTATATTATCAGGAATGGTCATATTTTGCATTTCGAGTAAATATATTTTTAATTTGAGTAAAAAAATATATATATACACATATATATATATTTTTTTTTTTTTTTTGAGACAAAGCCTCAAGCTATCCCCCTGGGTAGAGTGCCATGGCATCACAGCTCACAGCAACCTCCAACTCCTGGGTTCAAGTGAGTCTCCTGCCTCAGCCTCCCAAGTAGCTGGGACCGCAGGTGCCCACACAACGCCCGGCTATTTTTTGGTTGCAGCCGTCATTGTTGTTTGACAGGCCCAGGCTGGATTCGAACCCACCAGCTTAGGTGTATGTGGCTGGTGCCTTAGCGGCTTGAGCCACAGGCGCCGAGCCGAGTAAATATATTTTTAATTATCTCTCTCAGCACTGGTGGGTTTACAGGCAAGCTGAGCAGAGCACAGTCCTCACACACCCTTCTCTTCCCCTCCTGTTTCCCACGTCCTTACCCATCTAGGGTGGTGATATGTTTTTACAAGAAATAAATATTTTTAGCTTTGATTCTTTTTTCGTGTGTGTGACGCTAATGCTGCTTTGAATATAGTTTGGAAAATTTGAAGTAGATGCCCAAGTGCTTTTTGGTGTCTCTGAAAAAAGAGTATGAGGCTTCCACCTGAAGATGGGTCTAGGAAAAGACAAAGCCACAAAACACGTTTATAACTCGGTTTATTAAATCAATACTAGCGTGACGTTTATCTTAAAGCATGTTCTTTCCCTGTTATCCTCTTTGAGTCAAATAATCCTGGGAGTTTAGGAACCCACAGCAAACTGACCTGCCCATAATCGTGCACTCCTACTAACTTCAGAGAAAGGAAAGGAGGCCTCCTGACTTCCAGCCCAGGCATTCCCTGCCAGACTGCACATTCCTGGCGGCGTGACCAGCTGGACACCTGCTTACCTGAAGGCCGAAACCAGGGGGTTGCTCCTGAAGGCTCAGGTTTCAGGATCAAGGAAAGGAAAGCAAGTTCTGCTTGAGAAAATCGGTAAATCAACCTAAAAAACTCAATTCCCTTCACAAAGAAACTGATCAAAAATGAGATCTCTTTAAAAGGAAGTTGAATAAACTCATGAACAACTCCATAATAAGTTGTTACGGAAAACTCCCAGTCTTCTGACAGGCCCCCCTGAAGCCCTTCGGTGCCTGTCTCCGAGGGAGACCCCTGTGCTGGACATACCCAGACCCTCCTGGATCCAGTGTGGCGTCAGTAAGTCTCTTTTTATGAAAGCAATTTAAAAGCATCAGAAAAGGAAGTGGAAAAAAAAATCACTAACAATGGCAGGAATCAAACACTTCATTTTCTCTTTGGATCTTATTTATTTATTGATACAGAGTCTCCCTATGTCGCCCTCGGTAGAGTGCTGTGACGTCATAGCTCACAGCAACCTCAAACTCTTGCCTCAGCCTCTCAAGTACTAGGACTACAGGTGCCAGCCACAATGCTGGGCTACTTTTCTTGTTGTTGTTGCTGTTATTGTCATTGTTGTTTAGCTGGCCCGGGCTGACTTTGAACCTGCCAGCCTCGGTGTATGTGGATGGTGCCGTAACCACTGTGCTACGGGCGCCGAAGCCTTCTCTTGGGATCTTTAACCACACATCTACATAGTATTTGCATAGTTGATATCACAGTTCATACCAGATTGATTTCTTCTTCTTAGAGGCAAAATAATTAAAAAAGGTTTTTTTTTATAGAGACAGAGTCTTACTTTATCGCTCTCAGTAGAGTGCTGTGGCGTCACACAGCTCACGGCAACCCCCAACTCCTGAGCTTAGGCGATTCTCTTGCCTCAGCCGCCCAAGTAGCTGGGACTACAGGTGCCCACCACAACACCTGGCTATTTTTTTGTTGCAGTTTGGCCAGGGTCAGGTTTGAACCCACCACCCTCGGTATATGGGGCCTGCGCCGTATGCACTGAGCCACAGGCACAGCCTGAGGCAAGATAATTTTATGATTGATTTTGATGTCTACATAATTATATCTAGTGTGGTAATATTGTTTTTATAAGAAATAAATATTTTAGCCTTGATTCTTTTCTTCGTGTGTGTGACGCTAATGTTGCCTCACAATCTTGCACCATACTAACACATCCTATTAAGCTATTCCTCTATTTTTAGCCATCTAAGTTGCTTTTAGTTCTTAGATAGTCTAAATAATATTTCAGGCCTATCTTTATCTCGTGTGGGAATTTAAAAAATGTATTTCACTGGGTTCAATAGTCTAAAGAATTACTTGCGCCAAGAGAATAACCCAACTTTTCATTTTGAAATAATTTCAAACTGACCGAAGGGTTTCAAGGACAGTGTAAAGACCATCCTGGGCAGCCTGGTGAACAATTCTTAACAAGAATGACGGCTCTGGGATCTTCCCACACCTTCCGGCCTGCTTGGTGTGGGGTTTCTCAGTGTTTGTGTAGAATTTGTAGTCTGGAGTCTAGATGAAGGTTATGTGCCCCACAAACCCTTTCAAATTCACTGTGATACCTAACCTGTTCCCTAAAAACCAGCTGGCTTCCAAAGTTCAACCTGAGTTTGTGTGTAAAGCATCTGCCTTCTGGTCCAACCAGCCCAATGTAAGCTTCTTGCGCCCTTCTCCTTTCTGCTAGATCCGCAGACATCACATCATTTCTTGCTCAGCTGACCAGGGCCTCAGTATGGTCCTTATTCTGATGCTCCATCCTGCCTTCTGTCCCAGGGATGGGGCCCAGGCAGCCCTGTCCTCTGCCCAGCCTCCACGGCCAACACCAAGACTCAAGTCCCCCTGCAGGGAACCCCCCAAACCATGCTGGAAAGCGCCTACAGCAATTCTCCCTCCCACTTGCCCGTCCCACTTTCTCTCTGTGTTATCTAGGCCTGGGTTTTATTTCTCTGTCTTAAAGGGCTTTGATGCCGTGTTCCCAGGATATGACATCACCCATATTTATTTTCCTTTATTTTCTTTTTCCCCCCTCCTTAATTACAATCAAGGCTCCCATTGTCACTGTGTCAGCCTGGGGAGCCCCACACTGTACACTGTGTCACTGTGTCAGCCTCCCCACACCTATCTCCCGCGCTCAGCTCCCCTGGAGTGGGTCAGAGGGAACCAGTTTCACATTCAGTAGGAACACAAAGGCCCTGGCTTCCAAGGCAGTCTCTGGTCTGAGTCATCCTGTGTATTTCAGCAAAGCTCAGGGGCACCTGGTCGCAACCAGCAAGCCCTCTCCTCTCTACCTCCCGTCCTGTGTCTCTCTTCCTCCCTCAAAACCAGCAGTAGCCACCCCACTGGACACTATTTTGGAGGTCAAACAGATCAAGTTGGTACTTTCATCACTAAAAACCTGAGGGGAAGGCGGCCTTGTGGATGACGCCCCCCTCCAGCTGCTGGTTATCTCGGCCTCCTGCCCTGGATGTTCACTGCCAGCCTGCAGGAGCCCATGTCCAAACTGCATTCTCCCTGGGGTCTAGGATTTAGGCGTGACCATTCAGTGAAAACCGTCCTCTCTGGGAGCTGAAAGCTCCCCATTACCGCTCCTCCACCTTTGCTGGACCACAATGCCTCCCTCTAAAAAGCCTCTGCCCCTCATCACTGCCACCTTGCTGGACAACAGCTGGACGCACGTCTACCAGGCAGGGCCACTGCGGGGCAGCACAGCTGGGTCCTGCCTTCTGCTGTGGGCTGACACACCCCCATCATCCCTTTTCTATAGTAACCATTCTCGGGCTACAGCTGCATAAACGTGAAAAAACAGTTTGGGGAGAAGGAGTTATCTCCAGACCGAAAATCAGCTTTCAGGGTTCCACAAACATGATCTGTGTGAAAGGATCAGAATATCTGAAATGCGACCTCTCCTGGAAAGCCGGTTGCAACCCCCCCCCC